CTCATAGTGATCCTCCTGTGTTCAGCCTCGCAAGTACTGAGATTACAGGCAAGAGAACTCTTACTGAAGGAAAAAGAAATGTCACATTCTAGAAACAGCTTATAAACTTTTAGTACCTTGAAATTCTAAGTCCAGATTACAGCTAAGCAAATATCTAGAAAAAGGTGGCTGATAACCCATGATTACTGAGCCTCAAAATGGAGGGCTAAGCCAAGTGCCACGTTGGTGGCATTTGCAGAGCCGAACACCATTTGTGCTGCTGACTCACTTGATTTATAGCATTGCAGTTAAGGCAGCAGACCTTCCCATAAGATTGTAGTAATTTGATTAACTCGGGGATATTCATGGAGGATTTCCTAGGTCTTCTTGGCATCAGAGTAACAGAAGCAGGCAAAAGAGGTAAGGATCTTCCTCTTGCAAAGCCCACACCTGCTGCAGTGCTAGTAGGTTAAAAAAGAACCAAATATAAATGTACAAGATAATGTCACGTAGACACGTGATCTGGAAAATGGGAGGGATACTATAATTTTGATGATTTTGTGTAGTGGATGGTGCTTGGTGAACTGGATGGGGGATCAGGAAAGTCTTCTCTGAAGAAGTAGCCTTGAAATAAGGCCCTGAGTGCAGAAAGGAGCACAGGAGTGCAAATCTAGGCACCTTAGCTTCCTGTAGTCTCTCATCTGTAAAATAAGGCACAAGGCAGGTTTGAGAATGTCATAGGCAAATGAATGAAAATATTGCTTGATGACCTGGTAGGTGTGTGAGGCCACTTTCCTGAGTAGTTGTCCTTAGACATAAAAGCCTAAAGGGGGGGTTAGCTTTTAGTCTTAAGTAAATTACCATGTTACTGCAGCAGCACTAGATTCTATTTACTGACTCATCTCTTTGTGCCGTTTCAATCAGACCCACACAAACCTGGAGATCTATAAAGATAGCTACTGTCACTATTCTTCTACTTCTAAATTAGCTGGAGCAATAACACAGTAATATCGGGCCATATCCACATTTAAGCCATCTGAAGATTTGGCCCAGCATTAACCTAATACCCTGCATTTTAAGGCACTTTAAAATTAGCAATTTAACCAGGAAGTCCTCAGAGATCATGGCCTTGTCTCATCAGTGCCACTAGCTTGGCTACACAGTTAATTCCTTCAGAGCCACTGAACCAAGTGTTACTGTATGTGAAGAGAGTGCAGGAGTCAATTGCCAGTGCAGGATTCTCCCTGACAGAGGAAGGCAGATGATCTCAACTTTTGAGTGCATACAGTGCATATTTCTAGCTGAATGGCTCTTGACAATAGTATCCTCTGAAACATAATGTCTGGCCAGGAGCCAGGGCCTGGGTTTCCACGCAGACCACTGCGCATCTGACGCTCAAACGCCTCTTTGCAATGGTGACAAGAGTCCTCTCAGGCCTGGTGCTGCACAAGATGTTGCATTGGCTCTTTTGTTTTTCATCAGACCCTGGAATTAAAGGTTTTATTTACATGGTTTTCAGGAAGAAGGTAGTAGTAGATGGAGAGAAGAGAGAAGCTCTTAGTGTGGTTGAAGAAACAGCTTTGCTGTTTTAAATTTCTCATTAAGATAAAATCAGCTTTTCTTCTGAAACCTAGTTTCATTAATTGTTTAATAGATATTTTCACTTTAAAATTCTTGTATAATTATAGAACTAAAACAGCTTGGTTCAAACTGTTAGCTAATGATCCATAAATCATTTTAGTAATTGCTAGCTTCCTTCAGAAAATACATTAATTTTGTACAAATGTTCATAGAGCTTTCAGAGGTTGAAGACATAGGGAGATTTTTTTTTAAGATCACTAAATTATAACACTAAATTTTTTTCAAGTACTATTTTACTGTAATGTATTTGAAATCTTAAACTGATAAGATATTCCAAAAATATTAAAATCCTTCACTTAAATTTGTACAATTGTCTGTTAAGAATTAAAAGATGACCCTATTATATACTTGCAATTGATGATATAAATAAAATTCAAGTTATACAAGGTATTCTTATTCAAGAGTTATGCAACACTTAAATATTTATCAAAATTTCATCTCCAACTATGAAATAATTGTCTGCTGAATTTAAATGTTTCTTCTACAAATAATTCTGTGGAGGAATTTCACGTATTTAAATAAATAGATTTAAGTATCATACTTATAAGAATAGTAACTGCTCAAGACGAAGGAGCACAGAGACCCCAGATATTACTTGTAGCAAGCATTACACAGCAAAACTACAAGAAATATTTTTCTCATTAAAGCCAAAGTTGCCAGCATTTCTTCTTTGTGGTTGGTTTTCATTCAGTAAAATATTTTCTTTCCAGCTAGATATAAGCATTTGCAAACTGTAGAAGCTATAAAAAAATCTCTTTTAAACATGGGTAGCAATTCATAAAAGAAATGATGGAGATAACTTAAAAGGTTTCTTGTGGTTTGAAAATGCCATCCAAATAGTCATTAAACATTTAAGTGAGTAAATTTGTAGAATATGTTTCTGACACTGGCACTGGTTCTGTGGTATTTCTCTCATCAGATGGAAGTGCTATGTGTTATGCAGAGTGCATGGAGTTCATTCATGCATAAACAATATCATTTTCATAAATTAAAACCTCCCCTGCAGAAGGAACATCTGTGCCTGCCTTTGAATAAAAAATGGTGGCATGTGAGCGACTCCTTGACTGACTGAAAGAATCTCTATGTAGTAGAAAGAAATTGTTTGGGCGAAATGAAAGAAGAAATCCAAACACATACAGTATCAGTTTTCATTTCTCCCTTATGAAACAAAAAGCACCATCCAATTTACCTGCTTGCTGTCTTAAAAGCTGGCCCTCTTTCCTTAAATCATCTGCTTGTTACAGCAACAGTTTTTAGGTTCCAGGAAGATGTCTAATTTAAATTATAGGTGAAACTGAGCCATTTAATAGATCAGATCGGATTTGAATGTGCACTTCGTGGTCTCTTATTCGAAAAGGCTGGCAGTGTTCAAACACAAGTGTTATATCTCTTAGAGTAAGAACAGTGAGAACAATCCAAAGAGTAGAAGCAACAGCTTGATTCCAAAATAACAACTCTGACTCACTTGGAAGGAGACAGCTGCATTTTGGATAAAGTTGAGACTCACTTCAATGTATTTCTGTCATGTGATGAAGGCTGATGGAAAACATGTTAAAATGATGTATTTTAAATTGCACTCAAACAGTTTTGAGCACTGAAATGTCCCTGACTGCTGCTGTCACAGCGGTCCCATCAGCAGTGTTATTAGTGTGGCTAATTGTTCCCATCCATTAAATTACTCACATTTTTCTGGAGCAGCTTGCTAAATGAGGTCAGCTTTTTGGAACCCCTAAATCACCAATGAGAAGAAGATTAAAGGAACAAGCTTGGGGACAGAGGTAGTCATCCAGTGTGGCATCCAAATCAGAGGAGGAACAATGGAGTTACTAATGACAGTAATCAGAGCACCATGGCACGGCCAGGGTACAAATGCCAACATATTATTCCCTAGAAATTATGACTGCCAGTCACTTCTTGCAGGAAAAGAGGTGCCAAACTATTTTAAGTGGAACAAGTTTAACGATGGACAGGGTGATCTGTCAGTTACTTTCCAATGACTTGTATTTAGGAAAAAAGAGAATAGTATCACAAAGCGAGATGGAAAAGAATTGCACCTTCCTATGCTATAACACAATGACATGGTCTTATATACAAATCATTCATTATCATTTTTTCTCTGGAAAAATTATGGAAACCATTGCAAGTTATCTATGAGAATTCTGAAAAGGCTACTTCGTGGGTTCTTTCAGTTAATTAAATCATTTTCCTCTAGTATTTTCAGAGGTATATAACTTTCTCTTTGGGTCGGGATTCTTATGTGAGAGAGACCTGTTCTGTTCAGCAAAATGCACAGGTACCAGAGCACCAAGAAAATGACAGTGAGTTAATAGGTCTTGACTGGATAGACAAATGAAGCTGAGGTACTTGTTTATGTCTTGGTTGGTAATAAGTAACTCAATTCACCTTTTTAAAAATAGAAGAAAACATGCAATGCAATCATCTGAAGCTGAAGGCACTTGAATAAAAACAAAAAGAGAATTGTTTGTCCTGCTCATTCTGCAACCTTATATCTCAAATAATGAAAGATTAGTTGGGTTTTTTCATTATATACAAAGAACTAGTGAATCTCTGGGATAAACTGTATAGTACATACCCAAGTTAACTTTTTGCTCTTTTTACTTTATTTTACACATGGTGACAGCATTTTAAACTCAGCAAATAAAGCAACTACTTCCCTATTGGAATAATTGTATTATTTTAAAAATCAATTCATGAACAAATGCCACAATTGCTCTGATTTTCAATACTATTTTATTGCAACGGGATGAGTGTTTTCTAAATTGTGCATTACACCATAGTATATAGGATTACAAACAAGATTACAGTACAGATCAATTCCAGTGGTACCAGTGTCACGTCTCAAACAGCACTTATTCTGGACTGCATTTTACATGCAATAGCTATTGTTCTAATTATGAATTAAATGGTTTTAATTTTATTTAAGCTACTGTACTAATTGACTACAATAGGTATAAATCCCAACATTAACACCTGAATAGATTTAGGCTCAGATTTATTACATGAATACATGATAAACCACCATTTGTGTGACTATGTATAAAATCATGCATTTATATGTCCCAGAAACATCAATAGCTTCAAATGCTTTATAAAATCATGGAATGCAAAGGAGTAAAAGACTAAAAAGAAACAGTGCAAATTGTATGTGATAGTCAAGCAGCTTTTGATTTAAAGAAGTGTATGTTGGCATTTATTTATAGTATGTATATACAAGCTTGTGCAAGTAATGAATTGATATGTTTTGTTAAGGAATGCGTCTCTTTTTCCATCCTCTTGACAGTAATGAATCTGGTCTATATTTTAGGGAGAAGGAAAGACTTTAAAGTGAAATGAATTGCTCAAATTGTGCAATTTTTTTTACAATTAGAGAAGAAAGAAGTGCTAAGGCAACACAATAACTTTCTAAGCACTTTTCTGCTGGTTTAAATTAGTTAAATTATTTTGTATAAATTAGATATAATTCTACTTTTCTGATATGTATAAAAATTGATGAAGCTGCATGGTTTTAAAATAGGAAATCCACATTATAAAAAGTCATTAAAAATTCTGTACAAAATCACAACAAAATAATTCAGCATGGGAAAGGTAACAAGTAGTAAAATGCTGGTTGAAAAATATTTATATATATTTTAATTGGCCCATTACTAGTTTAAAAATTGCATAGATCCTAATTATTGCTTGTGATTTTGTTATCCCGATCAGATAATTAATATGATCTGAATACAGCTACACCAAATTCGTGGTGCACTTTTTTTTTAAGCTTTACTGTACTATCTTTTAAAATAGAAGAGCTATAGAAAATTATACATAAGGTGAACAGGAAGTTTGATCCCGTTTCTTTCAAAGGCAGTAACGACAATAAATACATCTATCACTTGAAGCTTGGAGTATTTGCACTTTGCAGCAGTAGTACCGAGAGGGCTGCCTTTTGTAAACAGGACCGGCACTGTAAGCACAGTGGGTTCGTTTCCCCGGGCATGATGAAACCGACGTGCCTCTAATCGTGAAAGATGGCATTGAGCTGGGCATTCATGACTCTCTCATGATGTGAATGGCTATCGAAGGACATAATATTGTCTATGGGGAGCTCGCAGCGAGGAGCAGCAGCGCCCGAGAAGATTGATCCGTGGCTTTGGGGCCCTGCCAGGGTCGCTGCAGGATAGTGCATGGTAAAGGCATAATTTTTTTCAAACTCGGCGGACGGTTCGTGTTTGAAAGAGAAGTTGCCATTGATGCTGAGCGGAGGACTGAGAGGTCCGTCAAAAGAGGGGCTGGTGCAGTCGGTCAGGGGGCTTTCGAAGAAGGGCTCCAGAGCGGCACTGTAGGCGTGCGGCGGCGGCTTCACGTGGAAGACGTGGGAGCTGTCCATGGTGCCGTAGGGCGGGCTGGGCAGCCCCGGAGACTGGTAGGAGTAGGGGTGCACGGGAAAGGAAGCACTGGCCGTGGGCAGGTGCGGCGGCATGTCCTGGTTCTGCTCAGGCAGAAAAGTCCTAGGGTTGAGCTGCAAGCAGCCCGCCACCAGGTTGGTGGTGGGCTGCGACAGGCCCTTGCAGAGTGTCTGCACGAAGGAGACCAGGTCAGGGCTTTTGCCTGAGCGCAGGATCTCCGAGAGCGCCCAGATATAGTTCTTGGCAAGGCGCAGGGTCTCGATCTTGGACAGCTTCTGCGTCTTGGAGTAGCAGGGCACCACCTTGCGCAGGTTGTCCAGCGCCGCGTTCAACCCGTGCATGCGGTTCCGCTCGCGCGCGTTCGCCTTCATGCGCCTCAGTTTAAAACGCTCCAAGCGCGCCTTGGTCATCTTTTTCTTTTTGGGGCCGCGTCTCTTGGGCTTCTGATCATCCTCTTCCTCTTCTTCTTCCTCTTCTTCCAGGTCCTCATCCTCGTCGTCCTCCTCTCCCCCGTTCCGCAACGAGTCTTCCTCCGCGTGCATGGCTTCCAGGTCGTCCTCCTTCTTGTCTGCTTCGTGCTCCTCGTCCTGAGAACTGAGACACTCATCCGTCCAGCTTGGGGGACCTTGGGGCTGGGGGTCGCCCATCAGCCCGCTCTCGCTGTACGATTTGGTCATATTTCCGTTTCCTGCATTCGAAAGGGGAGAGGAACAAGCAGAAAGAAAAGGAGAAAAATGCTATACTGAAAAGCTAGCCAAACCGTGGGCTTAATCCTGTACAAATTCAGGTGCGGAGGGAAGTACCGGCTCCTTGCAAAATAGGTTCTTCTGTGGAAAATCTCAAAGCAGTGGTTGCAACGGTGAGTGCGCCCCGCTGGCACGCAGAGACAAGGCCAGGGGTGTTGGTGCGTGACGGTGGGTGTGTGCGCGCGTCACTCACGCGTGTGTGCATGTTCCATCGTGATTAACTTAACTGTGTTGATGGTGATTGCCCAGCAGGATAATGCGTGTGGAGATGAGTGTACATTTCAGAGACTTCATGTTTATCAGCATGTGTCCAAAGTCATTCACAATTCTACAAAAATGATGAGTTTGTAAAAAGCACATTCTGTTCCATCTCAGTGCTGGCTTCTCTGTACTTGGTGTTTAAAAGGGAGAGCCATTACATAATTTACGAACACTAGCAGTGAGTTTTAAGAAGATTAGACCGGCAAGAGATTGAAGAGTAAATGCATGAAGGAGGGGTGAGCCCGTAGTTCCTACCGAATTATTCTCCCATCAACGAAATATTTGGCAACAAAAGCAGGCAGCAGTCTCCCATCCCTCCCGCACCTTTCCCCCCCTCGTTTCCCATCCTTCGCCCTCCCCTAAATTTCCACCTTGTACAAAAGCGCTGGCTGGAAGGCGAGAGCTGGGGGCGGCGCAGAGAGCTCTCCCGCCCTGGCCGGGGATCAGGTGTGGAAGGCTCTTCTCTAATAAACAGCCCATTCAACGGGCTGCCCGCTCTTTATCTGGGCTTTCAAAGTTCGCCTCGAACCTCCCTTTAAAGGATTGAGTAATTATAATGGTCAGCGATTGGCAATGGCGAAGTTGCTGCTTCTAATACAGAATATTAAAAGCCCCTAGTAAAGCAACTGAATTTTTGGCTCCTGCAGTGTCTGCCGGGGACTTGGCTGCGCACAGAGCAGTAACAGGTAGCAGTCTGGGTCCCCCTTGCTTTCCCAACGCTCCTCACACCCTTTCAACTAAACTATTTGTGAATCCACTTATTTTCTGGGGTGCAAACACTCAAGCTATCTACGTCCCTTTCATTCACTGAAAAGAAGAATTTGACACTCCCAAAGGACATAAAATACACACACAAAAAATAAATCGTAGTAATATGTCTTCTATTTCTTTTTCTTTTTCTCTACTGGAGGAAGTGAGACAGCGAAGTAGTTATTTCCCTTTACGAACTTGAAAAAAACTAGCAAATAATTAGTCACCGTGTATTCTCTTTTTTAAAAGAAATCAAGAACCTTCTGTACTATTAAATTTTATTTAAAATTTAATCAGAAAGCCTGCAGGGGGTACTTGAGTGCCGGGACTCATTATGTGCCAGTACTTGTGGGCCATTACGGAAAAAGATGCTGGTCTCAAAGCACCTGCACGCGCTCCCAGATGCGCACATACACTACAAGAGGTACATAAGGTCGTCAATTATTGCTTTTATTCTCCAGCAAAGGGGGTAAAAAAAAAAAAAATCAAAGGTCTGTAATTACCTGTGGTTGTTAGCAGGTCCTGAGCAGTGACGGTCTCATAACCCCGGGCTCTCTGGACGCCGTGCCTCCTGCGTGGGCGAATTCCTCGTGGCCCGGCAGCGCGGGCGCTCAGGTTATATAGCCCAGTTCGGGATGCAGAGCGCGGGCGGGGCGAGAGCCGAGCAACCGCGATCCCTGCGCGCGGCCCTTGCGCACGCGTCCGGGCTGCGCGCCCCCGCCCCCGCCCCCACCCCACGCAGCCTCGCTCCTCTCCCGCCCTCTGCCTGCGACAACCGCTCCCCTCACCCCCACCCACCCCACCCCTTCCCCTTCCTCCCCGGCATGCGCCATATGGTCTTCCCGGTCCAGCCAAGAGCCGGGCACCACGTGACCCGCCTATTTGTATGCCGCGGAGTGCTCCATTCCGGCCCCTTTGTGGCCAGAAGAAAGTGGCCCATCTGTCGCCAGTTAGAGACTCCGCGGACCTGTTTTTACCCGCAGGAGAGATTAACCCTTTCGGGAGGCAGAAGGGCGAGGGCACAAGGAGGGGAGGGCTTGTGGGACAGGGATAGGGAAAGCTAACCCCCACCGGGTCCAGGTCCCTGGGAGAAGCCTGCGTCTGCGCAGGAAGTCAGGCTGGGGTGAGGGAGTTAGGAACGGGGAGACTGAGGCACGCGGCCAAGAGGGAGCCTGACTCTGCCCTCCCTGTGAGGCCCTCGTCGTGGCTTTGGGCCCTTGGCAGATGCTTGCTGGTTGGCGCCAAAGGGCGGCCTCTCCTCATCTCCATGCACCCCTGTATGCGTACAAGAGCTCCACGGAAGAATGGCTCCGTCCGTACAAGCACCATTGAGCTGGTTCATCAGCCTCCCAAGTGCACCCCCTGCTCTTCCAGCACCTGTACGCCCTATACCTCCCACCATCAGCTCCTCCTATCCTGGAGGCCCACATGAGGTTCACACACACACACACACGCACACACACACGCACACGCACACGCACACCTTGTATCCTCTCAAAGCCGGCCCAGCCCCTTCATCCCAGCAGGCTTTGGCCTCATTGGCCTTCGCTGGCAAAATGAGGCTTCACCTACATTGGGCGGGACCTTTTAGCTGAGTCCCTGGATCACTACAAGGAGGTGTCCCTTGCTCAGCCAGTCTGGAGGCAGCCTGGGCCTCGGCCTTGGCCTGGTAGCTCTGGCTGGGCCCACAAGCCGGTGATGGCCAACATGCCACAACTTGGCCTGCACCTTTATCCCAATCTTAGGCCTACAGCTAGGTTCTTGGGCCTGACAGCCCCATCTCAGAAAGGCACCAGGGCCCTGTGTAGAAGGGCCTTTTCTCTTTCTATAAAGGTCATTAGCACTACTCTTGCCAGCACCTCTGTGGGGCTCCAGTTGGGTCTCTGATTTCATGCAGCCTCCACCTGATGGGTAAGGCAAAGACTCCCTTGCTGCAGAGATCATGCTTGTTGCTAAACAGTAAGTCTTGACTTACTCTTTCAGAACAAGGTAGTTTTAGAAGCTATACTTTTTTTTGAAAGACAGAAAGGAGAGAGGAAAAAAGAAAGCATGCTCAATCCTTCTCTGTGTATTCTTTTTCACCCCACTTTCCTTCTAAGCCTCCATTACACTTTTTAACCTCACCCAAATCCTTGGCACTGAATGTATACTACCTTAATTTCTTGTATAAAGACCGCTGACCTAGATGTCCCTACAGTCTGCAATGTGTCCGGATTGAGGGCCTGGAGTGAGAAGAGATGGATTTGGAGGAAGAAAGTTGTAAGGAAATAGCCAGTATGTGAAAGTGGGGGAGGCAGCACAAACTCAAATGGGGAAGAACGGAGATGTGCGATGTGACCGGTGGACCAGTGCCTGCCATCAGACTGTCTCAGGTTCCAGAGCAGAACTGTGGGGAACCCTGTGGCTTTTCTGTGTCCATCCGTGGGCCTGGCTAAGAAAGAGCACAGAGGAAGATGACAGGATTCAACAAGAAGCATGGCCCCAGTATTTCCACTGGTGCCCTCTGCCTGTAGTCCACACTCAGAGGCCTGGTAACAGTTGGACTTAAAATCTGTCCCTTTGGGGGCTGTTGCATCTCGCAGTGGGGATATGGAAGTCTTGCTTTGGATGTCTTTTGTGCACATTGGGATGCTTCGGAGGAGATATAGAGGCGGAGCAAAAGAGAGGGTTCCAGAGGCCCAGAAGGCCCAACTCGAGTGCCATCGTTGGTGTCCCGTAGAATGAAGAGGAATCTTCAGGGGGGCAGAGGTTGGGGCAAGAGGGAAGCTAGCGACTGCAAAGACCACACTCCAAGGGAGCCAGTTATGAGACTGATCTCCTCCCTCTCCTCGCTGATAATTCTCCTCTAATCCCACTGTGGCTCTTCAAGGCCTGGGGATAAAGGACAAGCCTCTCCGGGTGTCCTGAGATCTGGCTGGTTTGGCCTCAAGGTGACGTCCTGGTGCTTCCTAGTGTGGGGCGGGCCAACCTGAGGCCCAGACCTCCTGGCGCTCAGCGGGGGTCCGCAGAGCCCTAGGTAGGCTGCCGTCGGTAATGGGCAGGCGAGCGAGGAGCCCAGAGCCCGCCCAGCCGGAGCTTTTTGTTTGGGGAGTGGGCAGGACGCGCGCCGCAGACCCAGCGCGAACTCCGTCCCTGAGGGCCCCTCCAGACCGCTCGGACGGTTGCAGACCCCCCCACACCAGCTTCTCTTCCCCGCCCCCTCCCATTCCCGGCCCCACTGGGCGCCGCAGGCTGCCGAGCGGCACGCGAGCCGCACGCGCTGGCAACAAAAGCGGCTTTCATGACTCACTGCCCTCGAGCAATGCCCTGGATCCGCCGCCCCCCGGTCCCTGCTCGCTCGCGGCCGCGGCTCGGGACGGCGGCGTCCTGGCCGTTACAGGGGGCGCGGGGCGTGAGGCGCAGGGCGGGGGAGGGGAAAGTGGGGGCAAAGGACGGGGCGGAGGCGTGGGGTCGGGCCTGGGGGTGGGGAGCGCGAGGCTGGCGGCTGGGGCGGGGAACGCTGAGCTGAGGTGAATCCCGCCGGCCGGCGTCCCCGGCGTGACCTGTTTCTCTGGAAAGAGATGCTCGCTCCTGCGGACGATCGCGGACCCGGTGCCCGGGAAGGGCTGTCCAGGCCTGGGCGCCCTCTCCGCCGAGCCCGGGGCCGTGTGGGCGGTGCGGCCCAGCCAGGAGCAGGGGCGGTGGCCCGCCTCCCGGTCGGGTCAGGTCCGGGGCTGGAGCTGTCCGGCTCGACAGGCAGGCGCTGAGAGAGCCCGGAGCAGGAGAGATGCGATTAAAATGCCTCGCCATCGCCCCGGGCGCAAAAGCCGGCCTCCCCAGCTCTCCTGGGCCTGCGGCATAATCTTAATTAAGATAATTGATTCATATTGCACCTGCGAGAACGGAAAAAAATTGATTCCAACCCCCAACCCCACAAATTGCTTAGAGCTAT